ATACCATAGATAAAACGTGTCTTGGTTTATGTCAAGGAATCATTAAATACACTTTTTTGACTGTAACCCTGATCGTTATCTGCGGTAAGTTTGCTGCCCAACACTTGAATACTGTACATTTACAAAGCACAGCATTAAGAAGCTCCAACAGGTCAATACTGGGGCTACCAGGTTATTACACACATACACCTGGTATTACATCCCACATAAAAAAAAACAAAAAACATTAATAATGGACCTACTCGAGACATGAAGACATGCGCACAGACTTACAATCATGTGCAAGATCACAAACAACCTTATAGACATCAACAAACACGAATACTTACAATCAGCACATACACAAAACACACACAACTCATGACCAGTAATGTTTGTCACATACCACACCAACACCAAAAATTTACAAGCACTCCTCCTTCCCATGTATCATACGCAACTGGAAACAGGCTACCCTAACACACTATTGAAGCAAAAACACTCATACATTTGCTGATACTGGAACAAAACATTACACTACAAACACCAACACTTACACCTAATCCATTCATTCACCCCAGCAACCAAACAAACAAATATGCGTGCCCTATGCGATTATTATTGAGATTGAGATGGACTATGAGGTCGCCACAACTTAAACTGTTGATTCCTTTTCTATTTTTCCGTTCCATATGATGGCGGTATCCATTTCCCTCTATCTACTTGCATCACTATGAGTAACTTATACCCCTCTACCCAATGCATCACTCTCGAAACCTATATCCCTAAGTCCACTTGGTGCTCCCAAATTTCAGCTCTAACTTGCTATGCATACCGAGGTAAAGACAATGTTTCTCAGGGGTGTTGTGGGGCAGGTTACACATACAGCAGCCATATCCAATCTCTCATCGTTACACATACAGCAGATATATGCATATAACATCAATTCTGAGTAACAAGTACAGTAGAAGTTACAGACACCACGACGACGCGCGTAGAGAGAAATGGACACCGCCATCTATATAGAGCGAAAGAAATAGAATGGGATAAAACATAATTTAAACTGCAGCAGCTTACAGTCACCATTAAATTATGAAAATGCGACGTGCGGGAGCCGCTAGAATTCTAAGTCCAGCAACTTGTTTTTAACAAAACACTGACCCCTGAACGCATTATTGCAATGTCCGAACTAGTCTGTGTGTTACTACGTGTTTGTCAAAATGATATTTGGCTAATTATCAGTGTCTGCTGTTACATAGTTATGCCTTTAAAGGGCATATGTGAAGTAATTATCGTGCATTGTTTTTTCCTTGAATATTGTTCAATAATGTATGCTTAGCCTATTCATGCAAAAAAAAAATTTGGAGAGACCCTCTGGTATCCCCAAAATCCCATAGTAATGCCTGTTAAACGAAGATACAAAACTCGGCAGTCTTCGACAATCCCCGGTTGTGATATCATTCCCAGAAACAGGGAGAATCTTGTTGAATAGTGTGATACACACAGTGCACACGCAAGTCGAGAATATCTCGGAATTGTTTCAAGCTATTTGTAACAAAACATGCCACTGCATTGTATAGCAATTTATTGTTCCCATTCATGTCACCAGCTATTTGAATGGCCAAAAGACCACGACAGAGCAAGGAAGTGGACACGTTTTGTGCATGCCAAGCGGAGCAACTTTAGCCTGTGCCAACCAGTGTACTTTGCCTGAAACACTTCAAGCCCGATTGCTTTGCGAACAGAATGGCTTACGACATGGGATTTGCAAAACAGTCGGCCATTTCCAATTTATATTTCTCATGATCACAACAGCGCAAAACAAACTCTGAAAGAGTGCTTTTGATTGGCGTAGCAAACATTCATTATGTGGTTGCGACACAGTGTGCCGACTGCAGTACAAGTGTGCATGTATTACTACACAGAGGTAGGGTAGGTACACCCCAAAAAGCACAACACAAATAAATACCGATGCCCTCCACTCGTGAATGGATGTAGGCCTACGCCACGGGTGCAGATAGCTCAGCCTGCAGAAATTTTCTACCATACAGAAGCGGAATCACACGTTCGACTATAAAAAAATAATTTAGAAAGTTACCATTCATTCAATCTCTTCGGGTCTCGACGCCACTCCATGTCTGGTTGGTTTGGCACAACTTCCACGGCTTATGCATGTACGGTCCAACAACCATTAACCTTGATATTCATCATCTTCTAACTCTTCGAAGATATAGGCACCCTCTGAAGAAGTTGTACCAATGTCCTCGTCGGAATAATCCGATGAAACTTCACAGATTTCACTGCCGCTGTAGTCTTGTAGTGAGTCCGCCATGAATTGAATACGGAGAACGCTGTGATCATGTTCTGAAATTGCCGTCACACTCCGGGTTTCATTTTTTTCGCGGGAAAATATAACGACTTTGGAAAATCGAAATAAATCAATTTTGGGGAATTATTTTCAGATTTCCTTTTTTACTCATATTAGAGAGATAGTTTCACGGAGCTAATTCTCCCTTTTTAAAATTTCAGTTACTTCACTTAAGCCTTTAAAGTTTTTTATTACTGTTATCAATACTTCATTTCCTTATTTTAATATCTATCTATACCCTTATAAAGAATCGTGGCATCAAGTGTTTCACATTTTCTTGCTGCTGCTGCCAGAATTTGTTGTTGATTCTGGCATCAAAGTGGCTCCAAATGATGAAAAAAGGTGATTAAAATCGAAGCAATCCCGACGGTACAAAGGAGCAACGAAAGTTTGACGTTTCCAGATATAAAGGTATTTGGTTTATTATTTTACTTTGTGAATGCAGCTCTATCTTGCCGTACATACCGAGATGGAGAGAATGTGTCCCGGGGGGTGTTGGGGGGCTCCCCCCCCTATCAACCTTCCCCTCATTTTTTGGGGGGTATGGAACGAGAGAATTCCGCATTAAGTTAGGGCAAATTGAATATGAAAATTTGGAGTAAGTTATTTACAGCGACGCACATAGATAGGGGAAAAATAAGAAGGGGAGAATATAGTTTAAGATGCGCAGTCCTTATAGTCACCGCTAAATGCCGAAGAAAAACACAACACTGACCCATGAATGCAATTTTGCGTTCGCGAACTAGTCCATGTATCATTACACGCTTCTCAAAACAATATTTGGCTAATTATCTGTGTCTGCTGGTATGCATTTATGCCTTTAAAGTCTTTTAGTAATGTTATTATACTTCATTTGCATATTTCTCATATAGAATCCTGCGCATCGAGTGTTTCACACTTTCTTGGCCAGCCACAGGTTGACAGCTCACCAACGCACTCATTTCGAGATTGAAAGCCTGTGAGAAATGTTACGTTTCCAGTGTTCTGTTGATTCTGGGTTCTTTATAAGACTTTTACAGTGGCATTAAATAACTAGACTTTAGTAACCATCCCAGTTTTATATCTGAGCCCATCAAGAGCTCCAAATGACGAAAAAGGTGATTAAAATCGAAGCAATCCCAACAGTACAAAGGAACAATCAAAGTTTCACATTTCCAGATATAAAGGTATTTGGTTTATCATTTTACGATGTGAATGCAGCTCTGTCTTGCCGTACATACCATGGTGGAGAGAATGTGTCCTGGGGGGGTGTTGGGCTTGCCCCCATCAACCCTCACCTCGGGCAGTGCCCAAAGGGCATGCCTAGTCACAGCAATTTACATTGATAGATTAGGTTGGTTTATTGGTCAATACGTTTTTGGGGGGGATTGGAACATGTGAATTCCGTAGAGTTTTGCTGAAATGTGGGTTGGGTTCCCGTAGAGTTTGTTATTTCTGGCGCGTCACCCCGTAGAATTTCAAAGATGGCGGTTACATCCGTAGAGTTTCATTGGCCAATTTTAAGCATTTTTTGTGCTAGTTTTACGTATTATTTAAAGTTATACTTATTTAAGCTTATTTTACCCAATAATTTTCCTGATATACTTCATGCCCTCCCCTGCTAAAATCAAATCAAGATTGTTGATGGAGATATGGTACTCGTTCTGAACGACTCATTTGCAGAAGAAACAATGCCGAAATTTGATGAAATCATAGGATTTCATGCAGAAAAACATCTTTTTTTTTTCGACTTAGTCTCTGGGAGGGTGCGTCACACACTGTAACAATTACCAAGAATTTTTTGAGGACAAAATTGCAGTCTTCGGTATAAGAAATAATCAGTAGTAGACATGAAAAGTAATGCCACATATATAGGAAAAAGATTGCAAAAAGCACAGCTCTGTCAAAGTCCACTCTGTGCTCCCGATTTCAGCTATATATTTCAGTGCATCTTTTCCAGCGGTTATGGGAAATGCGACAACTCTTGCACGACAGGAATCGAGCAGACGGTTAACTTTAAATGAGTTGCCAGATGCATTCCTCCTACTTTGGATATTTCATGCATATTCGTACATATATTGGATATCTATAACAACGCACTACCCACCATTAGATATAAAACGCCATCTTGGATATCATATTCCAAATGCTGTTTACCTGTTGGAAAAATAACCAGTACAGTAAAATAGCAAGCCGTCAACCGCGATCATTCCCATTACGTCACAGAAATGGGCGGAGCTTAGAGGCCTGTCTCGCTTCCGATCACGAAACACTTTGTGTGTCTCATGATAGGTGTCGCGGAGCGTTTTGCGACACCCTAATTGCCACCTGAAAAGATGCCTAATATTTCCCAGATTGTGTTGCCCGCATCAACCTTCCCCTCAGGTAGTGCCCGAAGGCATGCCCAGTCGTGGCAACTTAGATTAAATTTTTTGAAATTTAATACATTTTTAAAATTGATTTGGGGGGTAGAATTACTAAGAATGGTATCACCTTTTTCATGTCAAGTTGTAGCCATCATGTTTGTTTGATCATGCATGTACAGGAAAACAATCTGGGCTTTTCTGCCGTAACAGTGGTCACTTCCGTTGGAAAAATCATCCCAAATACACATCATTTAACTAAATATACTACTATACTCTGCTCTTTTCATTTGATAATTTGAAATGCTTAC